CGGGTTTGATCCACCACCCCCCGGGGGCAAACCGCCAAATAAATTCAGTGGCTTGTTTTCATCTCCCCGCCCGTGGTGCCCATTAAAAAGCTTTCCTGGAGAAATTTTTTGACGTCGGTACCCTCCAACCCCGTTGGTGCTATGCTTCCCATGTCTACCCCTTTTTTTTTTAAATCCCTTGGGGGAAGCCCCAACCCCCCCCACCATTTCAGACCCCGCGGTCCCCCCCCCCCCCCCCCCCCCCCCCCCCCTCATCTTTGCCTCCCGGAAAGAGCTACACTTTCGTTTCATGTGACATTTCGAAGAATACGTTTGTGTCGCCGAACGATCTCGTTCTGCTTGACCGCCCGCCGACCAGTACTCCCTATTCTCATGTTGCGCCGCTGCCGCCACCGCCGGCCCACATCCGCAAGGGACCGAGCGGGGGCGTACTCAGGTTTCTGCGTGCTTTAGCGGTTAGACTATTGACCAAGGGTCCTCGAGATGGCGGAGCGCGGGGAAGGGCGGGGGTTGCAAAACCGTATGGCTTTCAAGCATCAACATCTCTCCAATGTTGTTTGCGGTGACATCACGGGGGGGGGGGTGAATCCTTTCACATCTGTGGACCCTTCTTGTCAATCGTTTCATGACGAGGACGACGACGATGGTGGTGGTGGTGGTGGCGGGGGTGGTGGCCCCTTATCTGCCTCCTTTGTCTCTCCCTCGGCCTTTCCTCGCCGCTCAAGCAGCCACTCCCGGATGACTTCTCTGCTGCGCATGTCGGCTTGCCGGATGGGCTCTGGGACGCGGAACCTGGTTCGCATCGCACGCGTGGTCGCAAGGAAACGAGAGTCTCAAATGGAGGCTCCAGATCTGCGTTACGTTGGAGGGCGCGATTGCGTAGCAGCCATGCGGGACAGGCATGATGGCGCTCATAATGTAACGAGGTGCCGACTGAAAAAACGCGGGAACTGCACTGCGATCGCGCCACGAAACACACACACACAAGAGTCGGCCAAAACTAATGCTTGTGAAGTAGCAAAGCGCCACGTCGTAAATTTCCACAACGTGCTGTTTTTAAACGTATGAACCGCTTCTGATGCCGTTGGAAACGCTCGTGGAAGTGTGTTTATGCCCGCGGCACTATAATTGCTCTGTCCCCTGCGGGATGAATCAGTGTGTACCACGGAGCAATGGCAGGGGCGATCGAGGTACTGCGCAGAAAACCTCGTGACGTGAAGGCAGCGACAGCGACATGGCTGCTTGTTTCGTTCCACGCAGAGTCCTCTCAGAAGAAAGAAAATAATTAAGAGATGATGGATCGTACATCCCAGAAAAAACAAGAGAACGACGAGATGGGCCGACTGCAAGTACGACGAGGATGGGAACCATGCCAACGTGCAAATTACCTGCAGACGGCCTTGGTCAAGGCCACGCAAGTCTCCAAGGAAACCCTGTGTCCGATCGAGACGAAGACCGGGCTAGTCACCACACCGCCGCCCTTCTTCCCTTCCTCCTCCTTGGGCACGAACGCCGTTCCCCATACCGTTCCGGAAGTCCCCAAAAGAGGCGTTTCCCGCTCCCCCGCCGAGAGCAAGGCCTTGACACGCTGCGACGCGAGAATCATGTCTGTGTTGTATGAGAATCATGTCTGTCTTGTATGTGCTCCTTTAACTACATAGCATCGACCGCGCCTACGGCTGACCAATGAAAATGGGTCAGTCTTGAAACGGGACATGAAAAACGCGAAAACGCTCTCTAGTTTGTGTGCGTGTGATGACGGTAGATTCGCCGTCGTAGGCGAACGCTCGCGGTATGGTAAAACCCATCATTAAACTTGGAAGAAAAAACAATGGAGATTCCGAAATACCGGGCAATCCAATCAGGATATTGCACGCGCGTTCGCCTCTATATATTGAATCAATTCATAAGTCGAGCTAAAACATTACCTAGGAACAATGAATACACTTGATTGAGCGAGAGAGCTCACCTCTCGCACGCCGTTTGTCTTGAGCCCGCGCGCCGCATCTGTTACATCGAATGCAGAAGCCCAAACTACAACATTAGGTACAATTGTGCTTTAGCGAAAGCGCTCACCTCTCGCACGCCGACCTTGGTTAGCCCGTCGACTTGCAGGAAGGTTTTGCCCAGCCCCACCGTGCGGAGCCCCGTGACCACGCCCAGGTGGCACGCCAGCCCCGCCCCCCTGGGGTGGAGCCGCCCGTTGCCGTCGACGAACACCACGTCGGGCTCTAGGTCTTTTCGTCGGCCAAGACAGGGCAGAAAAAAATCGACAACAACAAGAAGAAATCAAAGTTCAACTTTCAAGGAAAGCGAAAGCGAAATTTGCACTTCCAAACAGAGGGAGTCGTCCCTGTTTAGTGACGGTTGAATAATGCCGTTGCCCGGTATAGTAGTGTCGGTGTTTTCGGCGGGCACACACTGAACTAATTTCCAAGTCATTGCCAGTACTTTGAATGGTGACGGTCCGGTATAGTGACGGTGGGTTTTGTGGGCACATATCGGCACTAAACAGGGACCCCCCCTCTGTACACCGTTGTTGACCTCGACGTAGCTTTAGCATGCATGCATGCATGCAGCAACAAAACGGGACCAGGATATGAACACATGGGGGACACATGGGAGAAACACGGACGATGATCTGTCTGTGTGTGTGCAAACCGCCAGGCGGTGCGTGGTGCCACCGCGCTGGATCTGTTACGAGGCAGGGGAAACATGCTGCGAGCGCTACTACGCGAAAAGGAGGCAAGGAAAGTGGAGAACGGAAGAGCAAGCGAAGTAGGGGGGGTACCGTTACATCTCTTGCCGTAATAACTCGTGAACAGCGAGGATTAAACTACGTACGATACACCATCTGATGATAGATATATCACGTCAACGTGCTGCCATGACGGCGACGTTCGTAAACATGGAGTACGTACAAAACTAGCCGCCCGTTCCTTCCCACTCGCCCCTGGCCGTCACACCTGGCCGTTCCCGCCTAAGCTGGCCAACCAAACGCGCCAGGTGGTCCACCTGCAACGGCGAGAAGGAGGCGTTGTGTACAACAATGTGATCTTCATGTACTCCCGGGTAGAACAGGCCGCATGACGTGCGTGTATTGCGTCGTTGGGGCACGTGAACCAGTAAGGACTCGTCTAGCCACCGATCAACGAGCCAACGCGCGACGTCTCTCGCTCCTGAGCCAAACCGGATTTATACTCCTACGCTCACACGCACAACAAAGGAAACGGTCCTGCAACCCCTTCCCCACCGCCTCGGAACCCCCCCCCCCCCCCCCAAATCGGTACTTGAAATGTAGTCGTGCCTACCGAACGCCAAAGGTTTAGCTAGCCGGGATGCCCAATCAACCGATGGAATGTCTGGTTTGGCACACCAAACGCAAGGATGATGGCACTACCAGCTTTCTGGTTCATTCTTGTGAAACGTAGCCTGGGCCGGCGAAAACCCGGCATCTCGTTCCGTCCCGGCATTGTAGGGATTCGAGGGCAATGGTCTAACGACTACGGCATGCGTTTATGCATGGGTACGCTCCCCCCCCCCATCAAGCTTGCCAAGGGCAACAGCCCCATGTGGTCGATCTTCAAGTATCTATCAATGGTGGTGGTGTTCAGGGATCTACTACTGTACATGCATCGAAGACCGTGCTACAGCTGTTCATGGTCTCAGCAGACGGAATCCGTTCGGGTGGCTATCCGGGACGGAGCGTCAAATACAGCAAGACAGGCCTCCAAGTCCGCGTAATTTTTTTGCGTTTGACATTAAAGGAGCAACAACACAAAAAGAAAGGTTGGCGTTTCCTGTCCCCCACGACTAGCTCATATAGAAGCCGAAATCAAACCGGAAGTCTACAAGTCAAAATCAAACCTTTAGACTCAGCCAGTCCAACGGTATGGCTTCGGCTTCTGAACAAAACACAAAAGATGTTTCCGTCAAGCGCACCTCTCGAAACGCCAGGAAGCCGGAAATGTAAGGGTGGTTCATCGTCACCCTCTCGTACGCCTCGTACACCGTCTGCAGCGAGGGGAACTCAAGGACCACCAGGCTCGCGCAGGCGTTCTCTTCGCTCCCCTTGACGAAAGAGATGTCCACGCCCCCAACCAACCTCAGGAGCCGACTAGGAGGGGCACGAGTCACGATCGCCGGAGGCGGGGATGATTCGGGAGGACCGCCGTCCCGGCTCCCATCGCCGCTGCCGCTGCCACCGCCGCCGCCGCCGCCGCCGCCGCCGCCGCTGCCGCTGCCGCTAATCATCGTTCCTCCTGCTACTACTCCGGATGACAACATCTCCTTTGGTTCGGTCTGGGCCTGCCCATGTTGCGGCGGCGGTGTTGGGCGGAGGGCGGTGGCGGCGTTTTGTTCTGGGGGTTGGTCCAGTGTCCAGAGTACATCGTCGGTGTCGACGACGGCTCGCGCAATCCGGGTCTGCTCCTCTGGTTTTCGTTTCAGCGGTGTGTATGGGGGGGGCGGGACAGGGTTCGTGGGTGAGGGGACGACGCTGTTCGGCGATTTATGTGCCGCATTTTACTTCGAAGTATTGGGTACGTATATCTCTACACACACACGCTGTGAAGACAACAACAACAACCAACCACACGCACAAGAAATATTGGTAAGCCGGTTAGGGCGGTCAACGCAAAACAAAGAACAACACAACAGCAAACGACGCACTGGCAGCGGCGTATCAAACCTAAAAAAAAAAAAAACGTACTCAGAAGTAACGCGTACCAGTACGGTTTACCTAAAGCAAGGGCTTGACTTAACGAGTTCGTTCGGATCGCCGCTCGCGACTAAGCACCAACTTGCAAAACTTAAACTTACGAAAACACGAACATTAACCCTTACGTGACTACAGGCCGATTCAGCTCCGTTCTCAGCTCCGATCACTTTGCGTGCCGAAAGATCGCCGTTGTGCCTCGGCTTAAGAGCAAAAACATACATAAGAGACCAGCAGGGAGACACAGGCAGCCCACCCCAAAAGCACGCTTATCAGCAATGCGCACAGGACGCACATAGTACAATACTATTCACCCATGCCTAATCTCTCTGACGTGGGGCGGATATCCTTTCCAGATCCAATCTACTGCCTACCGGTACTGTAAGATTCAAACGCAAAATACCCACCGGAGAGTACATACAGCACCCTGAACATGATCAACCCGGTGCCGCATCCGCGGGGGAGAGCAGAGAAAGCGCACACCGGAGCCGATGCTAACGTACAGCCTCGGTGCTTGATGTTGCTGTGATTGCGGTGCGTGTGGTTCCCAGTATTGGGAGTGAAGGGTGGTTCGTCTGCTGTTGGCTCAAAGGCAAGAGTTTTCGGGACTACAGCTCCGATGACAGCTCCGATGACAGCTCTCTATTTGTAGTACAAAATAGTAAAATTCATCACGATTTTTATACATTTTGTGCCATAGTGGATGGTGGTCTCGATTCTCTGATGAGCGGGCCGTTTTTTTCGTCGATCTGGCGCGCTTCTGTGAGGCGGTTTCCCGTCAGCGTCTTCATATCTAGCGCCGCTAGCATATGCGCTTGCCGTATCCTCTGTCCAAGGATGAGGTGGAGAAGATGTGCCAGCAGGTTTTGCTTGCACAGGTACATCCTCTGTGCGGACGTTGCTGTCGGAGACAAACATGCACACCTGCTCAGAAACTACTGCTGTACAGCAGTGTATTTATCTCCGCATAGCTGCTACTGCTGTACAGCAGTAGTACTACTGTACTCCTGTTCGTCAACCCTTACATATACCGCGTCCCCATCCCTGTGAGCCCCTCATATGGACCCACTGCTGCACTATCCTTGCCGCCGTGATTTATGGGTGTACACGCATGCTTGGAAGATCTTTGAGCGCAGAGAGCCAGTTGTGGGGAAAAAAAAAAAAAAATCAAATTAACCCAGTCATGCAAGTCATGTAAGTAAGATGTAAGTAAGGGTTAAACATTAAAACCCCCGTTCTCAAGCACTGCTCTTGTTGTCTTGAGGCCCTTCGGCCGGCATACAAGCCCGGAGGAGGTGTCAATGAACCCAAGGCGGCATGCATACAACAAGCTGCACTGCTTACCTTCCTATCTTGTAGCAGCATTTTTAGGTAGCACCGCCAATCAATGGTGCATGAATGCACAACCATGTGCACAACCATGATGCACAACCAACCATACATACATATAGATGGACGAAGGTGCCACCCTCGGCACAATTTTCAATTTTCATAGCTACATACGGCAGTAGATGCAGCTACCGTCCGTAGATGGACGCACGAAGGTATATTCAAGGAAAGCTGGTGTGACGTGCATGCACAGGGAATCCATCATTCCGTGCCGCCGAGCAACAAATTACACACACCCGCGGGCATGATGTTGTGTGTGTGCCAGATGTGTGGCACCTCCCCCCACTCCTCGTCGGCAATATTATAAGACGTGCCGCGCGCGTGTTTCGCGAATTTTATTACATTGGCTTTTGAGAACATGCCACAACGGGTAGTTGCAAGGATCCAGGATGCTGTAGAACACCCAAACAACAGCAGCAAGCACCGACCTTGCTGTTGCTGCTGCACGTTGCCGGCATGTCGCCTTTGGTGTTTTTCTTGCAGACCATCACCCGCCTCATAACCGTTGCAAGTCACCACCCTCTTCTATCTATGTGCTGTAGCATCCGGCGTCGGATATTACCCGTCTACGTTTGTATATGTAGTTACCCGTCTGCCGTCGTACCCTAACTCACTTGGCTGCCGGATGCGGGTCCTCAGTTATTTTGTTATTTTTCCTCTCTTCTCCGTGCTCTATTTTCTAGTGTCTCTCTCACGAAAAAACAAGCACGACACTACACCAACCCACAAGCGAATTCGACATTTATTAGATTGTACATTTAGGCTCGGACAAACAATGGGCGAAAAAGCCTGGGTAGTCAAAGCACGTATCTTGTGATGCTCATCTGCTAAAAATAACGAGGTCTCCGGCAGCAACCAAGTGCCCTCTCAGCTCTGCAGACGTGAAGCTATCACCGGCCGTAGCACACGCAGCCGTCCGTCGTGGTTGGTCCAACAACCAACAATTTTTTTTCCTCGAAAAATCGTAGGCAGGTCAAGAAACAACGGCTCTGTTTACAAGTCTCACCGAGCCAACGCTCTTCAAGGGCCTCGTCGGCCATACCCTCCACCCGCCGCTGCTACACCAAGATCCTTTCTCCTTTCCCCCCCGAAGCAACAAGCAACTCCTGCTCTGTCGTGCCCGTTGCAAGTGGGGAGAACGCGGAGGGGGGGCTGGTCTGCAGCTACCTGAGGTCCACCGTCGAAAAATCACTCGCGTTTGGCGTTTATTATTGAACACACACGGCAACTCACAAGCTTGCCCTGTGTGCTAGAGGGAGCTGGAGAGAGATCGAAAAAGAAGAGAGGACACAATACGCTCTTCACACCCGCCCTCTCCGTTTTTCGACCCCTGCCCTGCTTTTGAGTTTTGCCCTCTGCTCTCTCACGCTCTTCTCGCTCCCCAAGGCAAGGAGGAGTTGCGGTGGGGGGGGGGGGAAAGAGTGAATAACAACAACGCTTGGCAAAGGCAAGGGAGGAGGGGGATCCGTTGTTACTTTTGTGTCCCGAACCTCAACATCAACAGCGGCAGCAGCCAAAGTGCGTGGATCGCTGCGAACAGACATGGCTGCTTTCCATCTGGGAAGACCTTGCACACGACCAGCGGGGCACTCGGGCCAAACCATCTACACCAACAGCAGCAGCAGCAGCAGCAGCATCAGCTGGACGTGGCCCCCCAGGAGCTCGTCGGTGCCCCAGCAGCAGCAGCAGCAGCAACAACAACTCGGTGGCGGCGGCAGGACAAGCCGAAACGAGGATGACAACAACAACAGCAGCAACAATGAGAAAAAAAGGAGCAGCAGCAGCAGCAGCAGCATGATCGGAATCGACCCCGGGATGCCGCGTAGCGACCCGGCAACCGCCGCCGCTCCGATGATGATTATGAGCAACGCAGGGCCCCTCTGCCAGCAACCCGAGCGCAAGCCCTGGCTCAAGCCCGTGGCGAGCCTTCTCAGGGGTCTCCCGCAGCCCAGGAAAGAGCAGCAACAGCAGCAGCAGCATGATGACTGGAGCGACGGCGGCAGCAGTCGGAACGGCTTTGCCCGAGCCTTTGGACCACCATCCCAGCAGCAGTGTCCCCCCGGTTGGCGCAGCACTTCCTCCTCCGCCGCCGCAGCCGTGCCAACTGCTGTCGTGACAGAGCCGCCCCCCGCCGCCGCCGCCACCAGTGACGACTACCCGCACTTCGAGAGGCGTCCAGAGCAGCCTCTGCAGCCGGGTGCGCCATTCGGGAGCGGCAGCAGCAGCGGCGGCGGCGGTGACAACGACGTCTCACGCAGCCGTTCTCCGCGGATCGTTCGTGGACCGGAAATGTTCCACCCCTCTTCTTCTGCTCCCGACGCAAACGCACCGCTGCCGCCATCCCCACCCAGGCAGCAGCAGTACCAACACCGCCGCGGAGGATCGTCATCATCGGCGGCATCCCACGAGCGCCGGCTGTACGACCTGCAGACGCAGGCCGCTGTGCACCACCACCACCACCGCAGCCGCAGCCTCCATGATCACCCCGACGCCGTCCTGCTGCGGGATGACATGATCATCTCCAACCACCACCAACAGCACAGTGTTGCTGCTAACGGATCGTCGTCGTTGTACTTCGACCAGCAGCAGCAGCAGCAGCAGCAGCAGCAGCAGCGCCGGAGCAGCTACCACGTCTCCGCCGCGGAAGCAGCCATCGCAGCCGTGCCGGAGGATCCCTACCGCACCCCGACGGGGGCGGCGGCGGCGGCGGCGGCGGCGCCGAGGCGCTTCTGGGGGGAGCCTGACGAGTCTCCGATCAAGCACCAGCGAAACAACGGCGGCGCCGGCGCCGGCATCGTCAAGACCCCGCGCAGTCAGCAGCCGCGGCAGCAGCAGCAGCAGTGCGTGTTTGGAGGGTGCTCCAGGAGGGCCACCCACGCGTCCCGCGGGGAGCGGCCCAGCCACTGCTCGGAGCACCGCCTGCCGGGGATGACCGATACGACCGCCGCTGCCACACCCGGCGGCAGCAAACGCAACCGTTGCCAGATGCCTGGCTGCAGCAAGCCCCCCCGCTACGCCCTGCCGGGGCAGAAGGCGGAGTACTGCACCCTGCACAAGATGGACAACTACGTGGATGTCAAGGTGTGCGCGTTGTTGGTGTGCTTCGTTTGGTTGGCGTTGTTATTTTTCTCTTTCTCTGTGATGATTATGTATTGTTGACGACGTTGCCCTGAGTACCGCATTGAATTTGAGAGGAATATACTTGTACACACGCCAGATGACGGTGAGAGTACACACAAAACGCGAGAGAGAAGAGAGGAAGAAAATCCACATGGTTGCCCGCCCGTTTTCATGTACAGGTTTTGTATATGGTACCAGGTACCACGTAAGTACAAGCGTAAATACGTAAATACGAAGCACTTCGAAGTACGCAGTATTCACAATCTGTGGGGGGCCGCAAGGGTATGCATAATACGTTCATAGTGCACCTCGCTCGAGATCCCTTGCTAGCTTTCAGCTACATGCTATGGATACGAGTGCCCGTCGCTGTCTTGACGTCGTTCAACACTTTATTTTTTATCGCTTGGCCCGCAGGGCAAGCGTGTCTGGTCTCTGCCTACTGGCGGGCATGGCAAAAAAACTGGCGTCGAGAATAGAATGCGTGTCATCATACATAACGCCGTAGAGAGAGATAGTTGATGATGAGGTTTCGCCGGAGTATTGGCAGACCCCGAACGAACCATTCGGCCTATTGGTTGGTTGTTGGGTCTGGTCTGCACGTGACCCCCCACAAAAACATTTCCGATCGCTGCTGGAAGCATCTTCAAGTACCTGCTTCTGTCCCACCGGCTGTACTGCTGAGCGTTGTTGACTCGGAAGCAGCCTTCCGCGCTCACCAACCACGCGCAATCAGTGCTGGTCGATTTGGGGAAACTTTGAAAGTCAAAGACAACCACGAGCAAAATAACGCACAGAAAAATATCCGGCTGGTTGATTACTTTCCCGGAGACTCCAGACGGAAGCACACGCCTACCGGGCATGCCTACCGGCCGGCGTTGGCTTGTTTTTTTCTCGTGTTTTCCGGCGTGGCTTGTGGTCTCTCCTCTGCCCGTGTTCTCTTGAACACAGCAGACATATCTGTGTGCATCGTATCCATAACGTTGATAACGTTGACTGCATGAAGAAGGACCGCCGAACAACACCGCGTGAGGGATGGGATTCAAATGGCTGGATCAATTATTTCAGGCTGGCAGCTGCTGTTATTTTTCCTAAAACTGTTGCTGTGCTGCAGGCAGTTTACACCGACGTATATCCGTACCATATAATAGGCTCAGGCCCGACCAAAGGGTTATACATATGCGTACTCCAACATACAAATCGGTTGATCAGGGAAAGGAATATCTTTGTCTTCCTGCTTTTTCTTAGTATGACGCAACGATTCCATCGCTATCCAAGAAAAGGTCTACTTGCACCACTTGCCAACTTGCACTTGCTGTACAATCGCAGCTGCTCGGCTGCTGCTGTCGGGAGGAGGTCAAGAAGATTTGAATTTTTCTCTCGGTTGTGGGTTTGCCGCTGGAGCATCTATGTTTTGTGTGTACGTGCCTTTTTTTTGGCACGTTATTTTAAGATTGCCCGATATAACTCCAAGGACATGTCGGTGGTGGTGGCATATCAAAAGGACGGGTGGGGGGGGTTGTCACGTCTCGTGTTGGTGGTACAACTCGTACTTACCCGACTTGTGTCCAGGGGTATTCGCCCTTTAGCCGTTACCTGCATCCAGCTTGCGTGACGTTTTCGCACCTGCCTCAAGGCAAGCGCCGTGGCAGAGAGCACAATCACAGCCAGCTGGTAGCAAATTATTTTCCGTACTCGAACACGCAGAACACCGGCACCTAGAGAGAACACCGAAATTACAAATCTTTAGGTTCCTCTCGACCTGCTGCTGAGGCCCCCCTAACCCCTAACCCCCCCTTCTGCGGTGCGCATACAAACATCAGGATATTAGATATTTGTGAAATACGGGTCCCTCAGTAGTGCCGAAATGTGCCTGCCAGATAAGTAGCTACCGGGCACCTTATAGCGCGGTCTATTCAGGGGATGAGACGACTTGAATTTTCCGTTTAATTCCGTCCGTGTCACGCTTTGTATCACGTGCATTGTACAGGGCGGCAGCGGAATTATTCGCCCGGGCACTAGTGCTTAACATGTTCTGAAGAACAATATTTTTGTTGACAAAACGTGAACTTTGCCTTCCGCAAAAAATCTGCTGCAAGTATTTAAGGCCAAAGGCGATTGTAGCCAGCTACGGGTGCAGCCCTCGTTTCGTTCTTTTGCGTGTTTGAATGTACCGGAAGAGGCGGAGAGGTGGCACCCCCGCTGTAGCCCGAATTTCAAAGCTCGATTGCTCCACAACCAAGCTTGTGCCAACACCTGATATGATGGTTTTCGAAACATGTCGTCGAGGGCTGTCCGTGGAATTTTCAGGCTCTTTCCGCACCCCCCGTTGGGTGTGGAGCAATCGAGCTTCGAAAGTTGGTTTAGGGGGGTGCCATCTCTCCGCCTCTTCAGGTGTGCGTACTCGATTCGACGAAACACAGACGACGCCCCTTTCTCCTTGGGCCGCCCGCCCCCCACCGCCGTAAACCTTGACCTTGGTTCACCTCAAAAAACCTGCGGTCTTCCATGCCCCCCCACCTACCACTCCATGCAAACCTGCATGTTTGAAGTTGTGTTCCCATCTCTTCGAATGTGTTTTGCTGCTGCTGTGTCTTGTTTGTTACACAACGAACAGCACCCTCGATGCGAGTCTGAGCTCGGATGTGTTCGCCAGCCGACTTTCGGCTGGGAGGGGGAGAAGGCCCGCTTCTGCAGCGCGCACAAGATCGAGAACATGCTTGACGTCAAGGTGAGGGTTTTCCTCCTTATGTTACCACGTCGTTCGTTTGTCAAGAGTGTCGGTCGTGTTGCGTGTGTACCATGTATTGGGACGAGTGCGGAGAGATTCATGCCAGCTGCTGGTGAATGAGGGGCAGCTAAATGCTTGTCATGCTGCTGCTGCTGCTGCTGATGATGATGATGATGGCCGACACCCGTGCGCTAGTGCATGCGGAAGCAGTCGCCAGATTCCCGGTTTGCCATGACCGTGTGGTTCTCGGTGACAAGACGTGAAAATGACGGACCACCGCCGTCACAAAGCGCATTTTTTTCTCTTTTCGAGACCGAGGAGGGAAGGCCTCGCGCCCGCACTTCTTTTATTCCGCGGCTCATTGCAAACCTAGCATTTTTTTATTTCATCAGTATGACCCAACGAATCCATCTATCTCTATCCTGGTATTGAAGTATTCCAGGTCCGCACCTTGACGTAAGCGTTCGTTGATCGGCCAGTAGAGGCACTCTTCTCTTCGTCCCTCCGCTTGCCTTACCCACTGCAAAACCTCCCCGCCCGACCAAGGTGTTCCGATGGATGCGACGACAGGGATCAATTATTATTGTGACCTATGCATATCAGCAGAGACACGGAACGAAATTGCTTCCCCCCCACCGCCCCCCCCCGTCTCTCTCGCGACCACGAAAAAACAGAACCCGCGTTGCGGTGAACCCGGCTGCCTGAAGCGTCCGAGGTACGGCGAGGAGGGGGGCCGCGCTCGCTTCTGCGCCGCGCACAGGTTCGACGACATGGTCGATCTCGCATCTCGACGCTCGACGGCCGGGGCCGCCAAGCCGTGCAGCAGCCCGGCCAAGCGCGCCCGCAACGGGCCCCGATCTTTCGCCCACGACTCCGCGGCGGCGGCTGCCGCTGCTGCTGCCAAGCCTCCGGCCTTGCCTGCGGGAGCCATGCCCGCGTTCAGCCTCGGTGCTGGCGGCGGCGGCGGTGGTGGTGGTGGCGGAGGCGGGAGGGCACCCTTGCCAAAGAGGGGGCATCCTGTCCCCAAGCGGGGGCACACACCGGCGCGCGCCGGGGGGCACAGGGTGAGTTTTTTTCCTCCACGTTGGTGTGTGTCTACTGTAAACCTAGTTGAATCTACTTGTACACCTTCCCCCCTCCCCCGTGTTGTTTTCTGGGGAGTCGGTACACCCCGGCGGCGGAAGCCCTCGATCTGTGTTGTAGGGTGTGTGCGGTTTGGTAAGCGGGCGGTTGGCAAAGGTTACACCGCCTCCGTTCCACACGCACGACCTTGAGCTGTGTAAGGCCGTGTTTTACCGCTTGTTTCCCGTTGTTTCCCTTGTTGCCCTCTCCCTCTGATCCGTCACGCTATTCGTCATGCACACCACCCGCTCTTTCCCGCTTCGTTGTTGACGATAAACGGCATCTTTTGTTTTACTCCACCCCTTGTTCCCCTCCCCTCTGATCTCTCACTCACTTTCATTCGTATGCATACACCCTCCTTCTTCTCAATTGTGTTGGCGACGAAAAACGGCAGCGTGCAACCTCGGAGAGCTGGATCGACTTCTGCCCCAAGCGTGTTTTCGAGACCACGACCGGCAAGGACGCCGCGGACCTGGGCGCCTCCGACAACAACGACCCCGTCCCCCGCCACGCCGCCGCCGTCGCCAGGAGGGCCCGGCATCATCATCAGCCCAGCCCCCGGACCGTCAACACGAACATGGCCACCATTGCGGCAGCGGCAGCTGTGGGAGTGGACCTTCCTGGTACTACGGCCAACGGCGGCAGCAGCCTGTCGATGGAGGGGAAGGGAGACGACTATCGCTTCAGCGGCAAGGACGGCGGCGGCAGCGGCGGCAGGGGCATCGTGATGACCACCTCCTTCTTCCACCCCGAGAGCGGCGCCGGCAGAACGGGCGGCGGTGGTCGCGCCTGGGCCCACGGCAACGCGGCGGTGGGCTGGCTCTCAAGCGGCGGCGGCGGCGGCGGCGGCGGCGGCTCGGCCGCCACTGGCCGGGGAGGCGTGACCTCCGCC